GTAGCCAGTCACTGCTGTGGACCACATATAAACACAAAGATTACCTAAAAACGTCTCTCTTTCAAAAGATTATCTTCCTGGCCAATAAAGTATCATTCATACAGGAGAGAACAAAGAATTGAATATATAAAGAAAGCATTAGCAATGATGATAAACGCTGGAGAAATATCTTATTAGTCTGTCAAATACAAGAACAAGCCCGTCTTTCAGCCCCTACAGAATCACACACGGAACACCCCTTCAGTGAAACACGCGCGCACGCACATAAGCACGCATGCGCCCCAAGCCCAATACATCATCAGGTATACACTGAGCATCTACCATGTGGCTCAGCCCTGTGCTAGCTGCTCGGAGGACTTACTCCCTGTTTTCAATGAAGTCGTTGGTGACTGAGACCCACACATGGAGGAAAGAGAACCAACAGCATAAAATGGGAAGGGAATACCGACAAATAAGTGGTAGACAGTAGCTTTGCACATTTGCAGAGCGAGACCTTCCCACCGGGCACGGGCTGCCAGCAGGACTCCCGGTGGTGGTGCGAATCAACAACGTTGCTGTTTCCATTGCACTCGCACAAATAGACAAATGGATGGAGGAACTCCCGTGCTAAGAAAATGCAAACACCTTCATCAGGTTCCACTCTCTCGCCACCTACCCACCTGGCATGCGGCCCCCTAGTCTGACTGTAGAGCCTGTGCCCATGCCAAGCACTCCTTGAAACATACTTCTCCTTCCATCTTTGGCGTTTGGTTCTGCTTCCTTCCCAGCAGGAAGTCTTTCCTGGCCTCCCATGCCAGAGGCAAGGGTCCGCCTCTGTTCTCCCGGTCTCTTGTGGTCTTTCACTTACTGCTCTTGTCACCCTATACTGCACTTTCTCCTCACCTTCTCTGATTTGCCCACTAGGGACAACTCTTACGGTCATGTTTTATGTATCTTAATATGCCCGAGTCCTAGCTCCTCTATGGCCCTGAGCATACTCTGGGCCAAGGATATGACACTTTCACTGAAGGAAGGAGGGAATGAGGTGGTTCCATGCCCAGCACAGAGCCCAATACCAGGGCTTGATCTCACGACCCTGAGATCATGATCTGAGCTGAAATCAAGAGTTGGCCACTTAACCATCTGAGCCACCCAGGTGCCCCAGTGTGGACATATTTTATACACCTTCCCCATTAATTGATGCACTCTGTGATGACAGAGCCTCTGTGTCTCCTCTATCCTTGGCTCCCCTCCTAGCTACCACCACACTGTAGATAACAAATAAATAAAGAGTGGGCAAATGGATAAATGCAGGATTAGTGGCCTGGAGATGTTAGTCTGGTATTCATTCCCCCATGGCTGGACTTGGCAAATTTAAGCAGAGCAGAAGGGGAAGTGGTGAAGACAAGTTCTTGGATCTTATTCAGAGCTCAGATATTCCCATCACTGCATCTTTTATGGCTCGTGTTTTCACTCAGCCTATCAGGAAATGTATGTGATTTCCTGTCGGTATCTGAATGAACTTAAGGTGTCAGAAGAAACATGAGACTGTCATCTGAGGGAACATCACTAATGAAATTCTGGAAACCCATCCTTCCAGGAGAGGGATGCAATGGCATCCATACTCTGTCTCATCAAAACACACCTCTGAGGAGAGAAGAGTGGATGGTCTCAGGTGAGGGAATGGTTGTTCTTGCTCTCTTACTTGGGGCCTCCCAGACGCATTGTTTCTCTCCTGTCTGGGCTGGATCTTGGCAGTTCCTGCAGCAATACGGGGAGTTATTTTGGGGAGGCAGTTGATACGTGGCTAGTCCTCCTACAGATCAGCAATAGCTGCTTGAAATGTTAAATGTCTCCCAGATGGAGATACTTAACATTTGTAGGAGGAATAATTTGGAGGAGAAAAAATGCATTTGTCTTTTTGGCATCCTGTGGATTCTGTTAGAGAAGAAAGAGAACACTGTGATTCCTGCCATCCACATGTCAGTATTTTCTTGGAATTTTGCAAGTCCCAATGACTGTGCTACTTCTTCTAGGGGTATCAAGTTTTGGATGTGCTGGAGCTCAAGGGAAAAGTGTATGGAACTGGAGTCTCAGAGGTCAGACAGTTGACAAATTTCCCAGAAACCATTCGAGTTCAGCCTCTTGTCCATCAGTGGCACATACTTCCATCATGTGGACCAGATTTTTTTTTTCTTTGGCTGTGATCTCTTAAGTACAGGGAAGGTTGCAAAGTATAGGGCAGACTGGTCTAGAACACCAGGAGTTAGGATGCATGAGTTCTGGCCTTGCTTCTGCCACTAACTTTCTTTGTGGTCATGGGCAAATCACCTTATCTCACAAAGCCTTGCTTTTCCCACCTGTGAGATAAAGGGGTTCAGTTAAATAACCTTTAAAATCCCCCTCTAATTGAAGAACACTGCTATTACTCTGCTACGGCAGAGTGACAGTGAGTGACATCATTGTAGGGAAACATGAACTTGTCCTTCAACTGGGAAGGGAAGGCTTCACTGAACTGCCCATCACGCCCACTACTCATGGAAGAGACAGAGCGCATCACTCACAAAAAGGCTGAATCAGTGACCCTTTCCTACTTTATTCCTTTTCTGAACACCATAGGATCTCCATGACCTTGGGTGCTTCTGTATTTCTCACTCCCCTGCTCTCTGCAGCAATGCACTGTGCCCAGCTGGTCACTGATCACTGATTGGGATCTGATGGAGAAGTGTGGGGCTGCTGAATTCAGGGACTGTCTTCTCATTTTTTCAAGACCCAGATTCTGACTCGACCCTGTATTGGGCTGGATATACTTGATTTCAATGTGGTCCCAGCTCCAGGAATCCTGCACAGTAGCTCTTAGTAGCACGGTCATTTCCTCACCCTAGGAAGCTTTCTAGATAATAGACTCTTATCTACCCTTTTCCTCTTTCATCTTGATGTACAGGAAAATTTCTTGGTCCATTATACGACATGGGACTCTAATATTAGTCACCTGGGAATGCTAATTCAGTCTCTATATGTCTGTCTCTCTCCTTCTTCCTTCCAATCTTGTTACATTCCTATCTATCACCTTGATATGGAAGTTTCCATATTAATATAGGGGCAGCTTGGGATGAGTCAAGTCCCCAAATCCCAACCTACCTCCAGGCTTGATCCTCAAAGAGATGGGTAGGATCCATGTGTCTCCCAACATCCTCTCTTACTTAGCTGAACCCATTCTGAGCCATAGAAAAAGAGGAGGGGGGATTTCTACCCTCCCTACCTTACGAGAATTTCACTTATATTTTATCCTACTCTTTTCTGAGGTAAAAAAGGGTTTTTTCCTCTTGTTTTCCCTGGGGCTCTAATGGTACAATGGCATTCTGGGAACCCGATTCTTGTGGTAGAAGATGAAAACAAGTAAGTAATATTTTAAAATATTATTCCCATTACCAAATTAGTTCCCCAATTGCTGAAAGAGATTTGCTTGACTTCGGGGTGACTCACTTCCCCTCTGTGAGCCTTCGAACTATAAGATGAGTTGGTCAGAACTTACATCCACTAAAACCCCTTCCAGTTCTTATGTCCTGGTCTCACTCCAGCCATGAGGTGTTGTAGAAGGCTCACAACAATCTGGAGAGCCAGCCACTCCACTTCCAAACCATGTTAGGCTACTATTTAATTTCTTTGGCATCTTTTGCATAGCTAAACTCCACTGTGAGTCGTATGCTTTAACAACTTGGTGTTATAGTTATTTTAGGAAAAATAAAGAGGAGGAGGAGGAGAGGAACGAGATGGTAGCCAACAAGAACAATTAAGTTCCCTTCTCACTGGCTGGAGCCTGAGGCTGCTGAAAACAAATAGGATCACAGACATACCCACACACAGGTCCTGGTACATTCGGTTGTAATGAGGGATTAAGTCAGGTGGGACAGAGAAATTTCATGATTAATTTTAAGATTTGGAAAACTGAAAGACCGGATATGGTGATACACACAAGATCCATTCAGAATAAGGGTTCAGTGGCAGTGGCTCAGGGAGTGATGACTGTTCTCCAGGTTGAGATTGTGTCAGTTATTCTAATGTGTGTCTGTAATCTCCATGCTTTATGCACATTTGTTGTCTAGGACTGCTTTTCTAATGACAGCAAAAAGATTGTGGTAAGCGTGAATGTCACATTTAGGCTATTCTAAGTCAGGATGGGAAGGTGGACCCTACCACCCAGAGAAATGAAAAAAAAAAAAAAAAACATCTCTTGGGAGAATGTCGTGTTGAGTTACAACGCTCCATTCTTTTGGCCTATCAGGAAATATTTATTAAGGCCACTGTGTGCCAGGTCATCTGCCAGATGATGAGAGATTGTATTGCATAAGACAGGTGCAGTTCCTCACCTTGCAAATGTTATAATCAGGTAAGAAAGTTGGAAAAATAAGCCAACAGTTCCATTTAAGCACAGTTAGCAAAGACACGGAGAAGTGGAGGGGGTTTCCACAAAAGCAGAGAGTCAACCACCTAACCTATCCCATGGTTGTTGGGTAGGTGGGCAGTCAGAGGAGGCCTCTGAGACGACATGGCCTTTGAGTAACAGAACTTACAGTGTTCCAAATTGGCCTGGATAAGGGTGTTTTCCACTAAAAAGAGACAATGGAAGCCTCCGGTCCTTGGATTCCCCAATATCAATTCCAACTGCCTTTGAGTTGTCCGATCTTTCTCCCTCCTAATCTGAAACATACAGATGACACTGAGAGCAGCCCCGCATGCCTGCCTTTAATGGCAGGATTGAAAACAAGTGGTTGGCATTTCTCGGGGCAACCCAAACTATGTAAACTCCGGCTAAATGCTCGAAACGGCAATGTTTACAAAGATTTGGATTTCTGGCACGGAGCCCATTTTCTTTATTTTTTTTTTTTAAAGGGAAAGAGATCTTTAAAAAAACAACCGAACTCTGAAAGAATGCCTTAAAACTCCCCACTTCCCAGTGCAGTCAGACATCAATAATGTATTTTAAGGCCGTGTATTTTTCATTCCTCGCTGTCTTCCAGTAGTCCTCGGGGGCCGCCATGTTGAGTTGCAGCGATAACCATCTTGGCCACAATGGGGATCGTGCCTCGAATCACGCAGTGAGTAGCCCACGGCCCCCAGTCTCATTGCCTTAATGCGGGCCTCAAAGAGTTTGCTGCACACCCGACTCACTCTAACTGACCTCAGAGGAGGCTCATAAGGGTAATATTACCTGTAAGAGGCTGGTTTTCTTTAACTGATTTTTACACAGCAAGCAAGAAATCACTCCTGAGAAACAGGAACATCCTGAGGTGTTAAGACGGGTACTTGTGGGTTCAAATCTGGTTCTCAGATTTACCTGGGTAGGTCACCTTACCCTCTGCGCCTCAGTTTACTTCTCTGTTCAATGGAAACATTTCTTCTTTGTAAGATTATTGTCTTAAAATTAAATTTTATATTTGCCAAATATACACATTAAAAAAAATTAGAGTACTAAAAGTCTTATAATGAAACTCAGCAAGTTCAACCCTCCTCACTCCTGAATCCTGCACCCTGGGGCAGCCACTCTCCACTGCCTGAGCTGGTTCTTTTAATATTTACATCCACGTATTTAAATACTATAGATTTCTCTTGTTCTCACCTTGTTTCTCGCATATTTGGGTCCTTCTCTTTCAGACTGGACATTTCCTGCACAGAGTTGTGGTCCGATTGAAGAGCAAGACTCTAGGAAGCCCTCATGAGTTCCATGCACATGGGGGCAGGGTGTTGGCTGACGAAATTCTTTGTAGGATGAGGAGGCAGTGAGTCAGCCTATTCATTTGAGAACCACAATATTTCAGTATCTTGATGTCTTTTCTCATCGATCTGTCACTTTCTGCAGATGAGAAACCTCTGAGCATTTGCGTGAGGAGGAGAAGGGAGGTGAAGGGCCCCAGTGTTTACTCACTTCTCTTTCCAACTGTCTGCTATCCCTGTGGAGCCCATGAGTCCTGGGCTTGTCTCATTGATTAATACAGAAACCCCACTTCTGTGGGTCAGGGGTGAGGGGTGGAAGGAGAGGCGGTTGTCTGACTGTGTCAGGGGAAAGGCAGGGAACCTGGAGAGTCAAAGCTCCATATACAGCTTCTAAGTCCCAACTCATTCCCGCCTTCCCTAGTACCCTGGGCCTCAAAATGCCTGCTTTGCCACTATGTCTTCTCTGCAGTGTCACTCATCAACTCTTCTGCTTTCCACCTTCCCGAATCCATCTAAATCTCTCCTGGTCTGCTCTCCTCTGCTGTGCTCTTTCTCTTTGTAAGGTAATACCTTCCTCCCTCCCTCCGTTCTTCCCTCCCTCCCTCCCTTCTTTTTTTGCTACCTCTCCAGTGGGATTTAAGGAGGGAGGAGAGAGAAATTCTTGTGGCCAATCTGTCAATCTGCTTTTTACCCCTTACTTTATAAACATGAGTTCTGTTGGAAGACCTACCTGAGGTAAAGGATGTACAGTATCCTGCTCAATACCTGGCATACATTTAAGTGCTCAATAAAATAACTGTGCCATGTCTCTCATCTTCCCTGAGAACATTCCATGACATCCCCAAAGGAAAGGGTGTGTGGCCTGAGAGCTGTAAGATTTTTAGGAGATTCCTGGACTCCATAGTGCCTCCAAGGGAAGGGTGAGGAGTCTGGAATGCTCTGTTTCTCCAGGTCAGTTAACTCCATGAACTTAATTAATCCTCAAGACAGCTTCATTAAGCAGGTATGATTATCATTCCCATTTTATGCCCATTGTCTTAATATCCAGGCACTAACAAGGGCCTGGGGCAGTCTCTTGTTTGGAAGGAAGGAAAGAAAGAAGAGAAACATCCTTTTGACTCTCTGCTGGTGACCATACATCAAAGAAATACATCCACCCTGCCCTGTAAGAGCCTTTCCAAGGTCCAGACGGACACAACTGGACATTAATTAAAGTGATGAAAAGAGATTTTGTTTGCTATTTTATTTGGTAACTACTGATAGCAGGGGGAAAATCAGGACTCTGTTCCATTTGTGCAGAGATGATTTGGGTGTTTTAAAGGGAGGGGGAGAGGAGAGGAGAGCTGGGGCTCAGCTGAGTCAGAGAAGAGAAAATTTACAAAGGACTGGTCAGGTAAATGCGATTAAGCTGGCTGTGTCTGCTAGCTGGCAATCACTGAAGTTAGGATTCTCTCCTCCTACAGAGACTGGGAGACAGAGGCCCTATCCTTCTGATAGCTACATTTAAAATGAAAGGCTCTCAGGTCCTTAAGAAAAACACTTGCATTTTAAGAGATACATATTCCCAATTATAAGAACTTTTTAGTAGATGGTCTGAGAAAGAAATGTCAGGGACCTATGTCAGGTGTTGGCTAGAACAAACAGTAAATCTCCACGCAGCACTGAGCTTTCTCAGGCAGGAACTTTAATAGGGGGCGGGGGTCACCCTCAGGACGTGGCCTTCTGTTGCTAGAAGCCATGTTTGGACAGAGCTGGGATCTGCAGTTCTCTCCACCAGGTCCCACAAAAGCCTAGAATAATCATCCTAGCATGATGACACGTGTCCACGTGCACGTCCCGCGCACGCGCCTACGTGCACGCGCACACACACACACACTCTCACCGTGGAGAGTGATAACTAATAAGCGAAACCATGGTCCCTGGGTATGTTGGTGCCCGAGCTCCCCTGCAGAGTTCCCAATCAATGCAAGGTTGGCTGTCTGCAGCTCAGCTGAGTTACTCAGATTACAAATGAAAACCAGCCCCCAGAGAGTGCAGCATTGCTGTAGCACAGAAGGAAAGCATAATTCTTGCTTACACTTGGCTTTGTGATCAGTTTCTCCCCTGGTAGCTACTCTTCTAACTTCTTTTTAGGGCTGCCAATTTTATAAACACACACACACACTCACACAGCCCAAAACTTCTGCAGATCAAGTCTTTCTCATGTCTCCACGGTACTCCCTCCCTGACTACGCGCAGGATATTCTTTCTCTGTGGCTGACTGTTTCAAACGGAGCAGCTCTTTTTATAGTTGAAAAAATATACTGAAAAAGTAGTAGAAATAACAGTAATAATAACTATTATTACTGGGTTTGTTGTTATAATTTCCAGTTCCTGGAAACGTCCAAAGTTTCTAAACGTCCGAACACTGTGTCAGATATTATGCTAGGTAGACGCTATGCAGACTTTACCTCTAAACCTCCCCCAAACCACAGCACTCATGTAAGGATATCACTTCCTGGTAAATAAGAAACAGGGCTCAGAGAGAGTAAACAACATACTCAAGGTCACACAGCCAGCCCAGAGGGACTCAAACCCAGATCTGTCTGCCCAAAGAGCTCAGGTTCTCCCAATGACATTGAGATGCTGATGGGAGCACATTCTAGGCATAAGAAGAGCTGGCTTTTTGATTGGACATCGTCACCATCAACAGAGGTTGAAAGGACATCAGATTAAAAACTCAAGAGGATCTTCCACCAGCCCAAGAAATGTTATCATCTGGAACTTTCAGGTTTATCTCATAAGACAGACACACAGACGGAAGGAATGATGCCAACCTATCTCCAAAGATCAGTGTGTGAATAAACTCTTGGAATAGTAGTACAACGTCAGAGCATCTGGTAGCTAAGGAGAATCCCTAATGATTTAACAAAGTGCCCTTACTCTACCATCCCCCACAGAAGGACCCTCAAAGTAGAAATCTCCTCTACAGGGCGCCTGGGTGGCTCAGTTGGTTAAGCCACTGCCTTTGGCTCAGGTCATGATCCTGGAGTCCCGGGATCGAGCCCCACATCGGGCTCCCTGCTCAGCAGGGAGTCTGCTTCTCCCTCTGACCCTACCCCCTCTTGGGCTCTCTCTCTCTCTCTCTCTCTCTCTCTCTCACTCTCTCTCTCTCTCTCAAATAAATAAATAAAATCTTAAAAAAAAAAAGAAATCTCCTCTACAACACCCCTGACAGATGGTCATCCTGTTGATATTTCAATGTCTGAAATCTAATATGCTGACAGTCCCAGAAGATTGTTCTATCATCTTTTATGAGCTCTAGCAATTTTTTAAAAAATTTTCTGCCCTGATAAGCCAAAGTCTGCCTTTTTCTTCCTTATACTTGTTAATAATAGTAAAATAATAACAGTGGCGATATACTGACAACTTACCGCGTGCCTAAGTGCTTTATGTGTCATCTGAGTTCATCTTCAAAGCAACTCTTGAATGTAAGTATAATTATCCCTTTTTTTCGTTTTGTTTTTTAGGAGTGGAGGAAACAGACTCAGAGCAGTAGAATGCTCTGCCCAGAATCACACGGATAGAAAGTGGCACAGCTGGGATGAGCACCTGGCTCATGGGCAAAGCCCATGCTCTTGACCACCATGCCAAGAAGACGGAACAAACATAGTCCTTTCCTCCGCCTACTGCCCTTCTGATTTCTTAAGCAAGAGCCCGTGTGTTCTTTTTTCCCACCTCCCTTCGCTCCTGGCTCTTTCAACTGTTCATTTTCTGAAAGGATTGGCAATGGAAATAATCTGAGGTCCACGTGCTAAGATGTGGAGCAGGAGTGGAAAAGCCAGGCTTATTTTTGCAGCATCCTGGTGTTTTACTTGAGATGGCAAGTGGAGAGTATCTGGACAGTCCATCTGGTCCCATCTGGAGGAATAACATTTCGCCTGGAGAGCCCTGGGTTCTTTGGATGCTGGGGAGTCGAACGGCACCGTGGCTACATCCCACTTTCTCATCCCGTGAATCGCAAGGGCAGGTGAGAGGTGAGGCCCCATCCTCTAGTGTGGCTTGGCCGAGCTGGGTGATGGGGGCTCAGATGAGGGTAAGGTGATGGAGGCAAGACGGGGGCTTCACCAGGGCAGTTGGCAACAAGTAGGTCCAAATAGGTTTACAAAACCAGATGGCTGAGTGAAGTCTAGAGTAAGCACTGCCTCTCCATCACCACACTGGCGACACTAGCTTCCTCTCAGTCCCTGGTACTCAGCAGACCTCCTCCCACCACAGGACTCTGAACACACTCTTCCCTCAGCTGGTAATGCTTTTCCTTCTCTTTGCCCCAGTAACTTCCATCAGTCCCTCAAACTGCGGCTCAAGTGGTCCCTGGATTTTTAGGCCAGCTGAAAACTACATTTTAAGTTTTCCTAGTACGAAATACCTCTCTCCTTTCTGTGCTAATCACATCTGCAAATTTACATTTATTTCTGTGTTTAACTAATATTTATCTTCTTTGTTAGGCATAGGCCAGGTCTGCTTATTTTTCACCAGCATTTTCTCAGTCTGTAGCAAGGGGTCTAGAATACAGCAAGGGCTCAAAAAATTATTTTTGAATTGGAAGATAAATGAATTAATAGGAGTAGGGGAAAAAAGCAAGTCAATGAGGGAGGCTGCCAGAGAAGCTGGGATGAGCATCATAGATAGTTAAAATCACCAGGTACTTCTCGTGGGGCTGTCACATATGATCATTTTATGCAAGTGGCTTTGCACAGTGTACAACCCAGACAACTATATTTGGTGGTTCTGCAAATGGTCCAAAGGGCTTGCAAATGGTCCAAAGCTCTTTGCACAGACGTACCAGATCTATTTAAGAGTCAGGGGTGTAGAACAGACACATTTCATCATTTTTTATCCTTTAAAGAACTTCTCCAATTAACATATTGTTTCTCACTGGCTTAGGTAGCTCTACAAACCCCACTTCCAATACTAAGAAAGGACTGTGATATGAGCAAGGAATAACTTCCACAAAAACCAAGCTGTCTTCACAGATTATGCTGATGAATCCACCTCAGAGATGATCAGGTTTATTTATGCCTACATTCCACCATGCTGCTTGGTTTCTGGATCCATCATCCTCATAGCTCAAATAAAAAGCCAATTGCCTTCCCTCTGGGAAATTCACATCTCTTAAAAGGGTGATAAATATCTCCAAGCTTTCCATCCATATAAGACACTGTCAAGAGTTCTCCTTCATGGGCCCAGTCTATGCCCCACTGACCTTGTAGCTCCCGCATGCATAATGCAGGGAGGAAGGGAGCCTGGCTCTCTCCTCAAGCTCAGATTCATTCAAAGACCCCAAAATAAAATTCTTAGGCCAGCTCAGGAAATGAGGACCAGGCTATCCAGGTTCCCCTCAACCCCAACCCGTACTAGAGGTTACACCCACTAGTGATTTGAGAACCAGGCAATGCTCCTCTACGTGGTAGGCCTTATAAGACATGCCTCAGTAAATTCATATCATTCGTTGGGGATTGCTCTCAGCCGCAAGTAATAGAATGGCCAATTAACAAATAGGTCCCTCCTTTCGTATAACACGAAGACTGCTGACTTGGCTCAACGATCACATGGTCTCAAGACAAGCAGCTCCTCAGCTCTCCTAGCTCTCCTTCATGGTTTGCGCTGCTCCCAGGCCGCACATCCACAACATAAGCAACATCAAGCAGGAAACGTGCACGTGTGGGTGTGTGTGTGTAGTAATAGTCAAAGTAGCGGTGAGAGGGATGAGGAAAGGGACATCCTCCCCCTTTTATCAAGAAAGCAGAAACTTGGGGCGCCTGGGTGGCTCAGTCGTTAAGCGTCTGCCTTCGGCTCAGGTCATGGTCCCGGGGTCCTGGGATTGAGCCCCACGTTGGGCTCCCTGCTCAGCGGGAAGCCTGCTTCTCCCTCTCCCACTCCCCCTGCTTGTGTTCCCTCTCTCGCTGTGTCTCTCTCTGTCAAATAAATAGATAAAATTAAAAAAAAAAAAAAGCAGAAACTTTCCTGGAAGCTCCACTTAACAAACCTGTTTGATCTCCTTGGCCACATCTGTGTCATAGGGCTACTCCTGGCTTCAAGGGAATCTGGAAAATCAGGAGTTTTAGTTGGGTACATTTCTACCCTGCACAAAACCGGAGTTGTTTTAATAAGGCAGCGGAGTAAATCAATGTTAGGTAATTATCTTTCTGAATTGCCAGCGCAAAGCAGTTTAGTTATCCTGAATTATAGTCCTCTCCAAGCAGCTCAGCATTTGACAAGGACTTCTTCCTATCAAGGAAAACCCCCACAGTCTCCTTGGGAATTTTTCAAATAACAACAATGGTGGGGGATGGCTGAGATATGAGCGAATTGTTAATGAAGGCTTTTGCTCTCTGACTTTTCTACAGAAAAGGGTATACAATGTACTTTTCTTGGTAACGGAAATCTGATTTGTGCACCTGATGGTTTAAATAAATAATTCTGCCTCAGGAAATATCCATCACCCAGCATGTAAATGGAGATCAGCCGTGTCCTAGTGGGATTCGAGAGGGAGAAACCACCCCATCTCACGGAGACCCTCACATATATGTTGATTCTGATTCAGTGTCTGCCTTTCCGGGTTTGTCTGCCTGAGCTCTTGTAACAAGTCTGCTAGAAATCCTTCATCTCAGAGATTCATCCCATGTTGAGCCCATATCTCTGGCTAAAGCAAACACGGGTGTGGAAGAGAATTTAAAAATCAGCTTGGCGTTCAAGAAGCTGGAATTGGAGCCCTGGTGTTGTTGCTTGCTTGCAAGTTCAATAAGGTAATGTTTGTAAAATATCTAGCACGATCCCTGGTGCATAGATGTTTGGGAAATATTACTCTTATTAACACCTCTTTAAGAAAGCAGAGTTGAAAGAGATTAAGACACTAAATTCTAATTTTCACCCAAATCTGGCAGAACCGAAACTCAAGCTTCAGAGGACAGAACACGGTCTTTGGAGTCCTCTAGAAATCAAATTCAAATCCCTTCTCCATGTGATGACTGTCCCCTTAGATAATCTGCTTAAACTCTTGGAGTTTCATTTCCTTATCTGTAAAATGGGGGGAAAATAACACCTACCTTACTTAGTTGATTATTCATTCAACAAACGCTCATATGCGCCTACTATACGATAGATGCTGGGGAAATACATATTAACAGGACACAGTTCCTTTCCTTTGGAATTCAAAGTCTAGTGGATGAATGTGCAGAGTAACTTTAACTGCTTACATTCACTAAAAATCTACTAGATGCTGAATGTTTTAATCATATTATCCAAAAATACAGCTTCCCTACAAGATAGAGAATATCATCCCTGTGTTACAGCTGGGGAAACTGAGATCAGAGAATTTAAGGAAATCGCCCAAGAACACACAGTCAGTGGCCATATTAAGATTTGCACGCAGGTCCATGGGATGTGGCACTGGACATGACACTAAGGACATGGCAAATGCAATCCACTTAAGTGCACTCCAGGAAACCGGTACTCCGCTACCACTGATGTCCCATTAGCAACTTCGGCCCCGTACGTAAGGGAGGAGTCACGCATGGCCGCGGAGACTGCTCTCACCCATACCTGCCTTGCAGACACAGATGAACATGGGTTTGCTTTAATCGGTCTGGAAGATGAGCTGCAAAAATGATTATGTAGCAGAGGCAGGCCTTATAAGACAGCAGAACAAACAGAAATAGCCTGTGAGACCAGCAGCCTGGCCTAAATTACCAAGGGCCCTTGGAGAGCACAGCTGTATCTAAAGCACGTGATTGCACAGATACACACACCGAACCTGTCAAGAATGTATGATGACTGTCCTTAAAGCTCCCTAAATAGGTGCACTAGAAAAACGGGCCTATACCCTGCCAAGAAAATGAATAACACTAATAACAACAATTACACTTACCAAGCAATTAACAGATGTCAGGCATGTTGTTAAGCAATTTACCTACACGGTCTGCTTTTCTTGTCAACGGTTCTTTGAGTTGGATACCACAAACACCCAATCTCTATGGTTGGGGAAACTGAGGCTTCGAGAAGTTGAGCCACTCGTCTAAATGATGCACTTGGTAATTGACAGAGTTCAAAAGAAGGTCTGTGTGAGCCCCACACTCTTCATGACACACATCATTATAAACTTGACCCCTACCCATAACATACCTCTATGAGTGGAGAGACAACCATCACTACTCCCCACACCTACCGCCAACTCCATCCCCATCTATAATCCCATCCCCACCCCGCCACTGTCCATCTTCTCCCAGATCCATTTCTCTATCCCCATCACCAGCAGCTGCATCCCCAAAGAGAATGCTTTTCCTGCAATGTGACCCTGGGTCATGTGCTCCTAAAACATGTTCAAAGTGTGCCCAGGCCTTTTCACATTACTATGTCTCTGCAATCCTTCCTTTCCAGGGGATTGAATAAGAAAATCCTTGGTTCAGGGGCACCTGGGTGGCTCGGTAGGTTAAGCGTCCAACTCTTGGTTTCGGCTCAGGTCATGATGTCAGGGTCATGAGATTGAGCCCCAAGTCAGGCTCCGTGCTCAGCACAGAGTCTGCTTAAGACTCTCTGTCCCTCTGCCCTTCCCTCCTGCTCTCTCTCTCTAAAATAAATAAGTCTTAAAAAAGAAAAGAAAAGAAAATCCTTGGTTCAAATCTGGGCTTCACTCCTCCCTGCTGTGTAAACTGGGCCAGTCACTTAACCTCTCTGAGCCTGTGTCTTCATCTGTTTTGATATCTATTTCCTCAGGGTTCTCATTAGGAATAAATTAAATGAAAAATTTTATGCATGAAAATTTGAAAGACATGAAAATGCCTAACACATAAGAGGCAAAATAATTGTTATTCTCT